CAGCAACAGGTGTGACACAAATCACAGAGACAACTGGGATAAATAGCCCTCCATCTACATCAGCTGCCATTTAATGCACTTACCAATGTTCATTAAGCAGAATGACTGCCCCCAAGAATTGCTTTTTAATTTTATCACACAGCCCTTTGCTCTGGTGTAGCACGGAGAAGGCCACAGCAGCCCAAAGTGAACTGTCTCTACATTAGCTATTTTTTAATTTATTTTTTCTTTACTATTCCCCCTGGCCAAGCCCCCTCTTTCGATGAAGATTTTCATCATTTAATTAATAAAGCATCCCTGCACCACGCAGTCCCCAAGGCACCGGGCAGCTGCTCAGAAGCAGCAGGCATTTAATCACCGGCTTAGCAGGGCAGACGTTGGGACATCTCACGCCTTGCTGCCCCCAACCCTTGGCTGCAAAACCCAGGGGTCAGCCCCAGGCAGGGAAGGGGGACACCCACAACTATGGCAGGGATATATTTGGGGGACAGACCATGGGGATCGCAGGCTGTCCGTGGCAAAGGGGCGCCTGCCTGCACCGCGGGCGCAGGGTCTGCACGGCTCAGTGGGCATCAGAGCGCGTTTGGCCCCCAGCCCCTTCTTGCAAATCGGAGTTATGGTGGTGTCTTTGCCCAGGAGGGGCCCTGACCGCTCTCCCCTGCCCTTCACACCCCGCCACTGCCCAGGCGAGGCTGGTGGGAGCAGAGAAGCCACCCTACAGGTCGTGCAGCTTTGCTGCACCTTGGACCTCACCTTTTGGCTTCTGGCCACCTTCAGCGCCCAGAAGTTTTATTACACTGTTTTACCCTCTTTTTCCCCTTTGTTTTTTTTTTCTTCTTTTTGGAACTGTTGTACACCTCCTGCTCCATGCAGGTGATGCCCGGAGCCGGTAGATGCCTCCTCCTCCCCTCTCGCACCAGCCCAGCTCCGCCAGAGCAGCAGCAACAGCCCAGCAAAAACTCCACGTCGAGCCATAACCAATGGCAAATTCTTCGAGCGAAACGTAATGTGCTGGGAAGCGCTTCACCATTTCACTTGGGAAAACGATCCGTTTGGCAGCAGAGAGGAGGAAAACATGCTTTGTTTTACAAATCCTCTCCCCAGCAGGAGAGACACTCCCAGAATTTAATATACTGACAGCGCTTGGCTGCTTTAACCACTGAAACTCAAGAGTGCATCAAAAAAGAAAGTAAAAAAAAAAAAAAAGTGATATGCTACATAATATTAAATCCTCTCTATTTTGCAACTGGTGGTATCGGGCACAGCAATTCATCAGCACAGAGGAGCTGCAATTCTCCATCCATGACAGCCAGCATGGATGGGGTGCAGGGTCTGAGAGCGGGATCCCAGGTTTCTCCAAGTGCTGGACACCCTTAATTAATCCAGTTTTCACCTTCTCTTAGAGTGAGGCCCTGCAGCAGCCCCTTGCAGGAAAGCGGAGATGATGTTGACAGGTAAATCTAGGAAGTCGCTTCATAGTGGAGAAACCCTATTCAAAGTTATCCAGTTTGAGAATTACTTCCACGAAAGGCAACTGGTTCCATCCAGGTGACTAGCAAGCTTCTTGCAACCCTGAACTCCGGCCTCGATAAAATGTTAAGTATTTCAGTGTATTTCCATTTATCCTCCAATGCGTTTAACTGACAAAAGCATCCTACGTGCAGCCTTGGCGAGGATGGCTTCCAGGAAAACACACCTCATCCAAAGAGGGCAGTGGAGGGCACGTTTTTGGGAGGGGATATTAATTTTGCAGTGTGGGCTTTGGGCTCCAGGCAGTTGACAGCGTTACCGGAGCAGAAGGAAAGAGCAACCAGTATCTCTAACTAAAGAACCTGCTGTTAAATTAGGCTGGCTGTGCCAAAGGAGCACATACCCTTTTGAATGGCTCCTGCACGCAGTAATACGTGTTATTTTGAGGGCAGGCAGCAGGATCGAATTGCCTCCGCACCGAAGACCGCTTCTGACCCCTCCGCGGAGCAGTTTTGAAGCAAAGAAATCTGTCTGCTGTTCACTTTTTTTACCTTTTTTAAGCGCTTTGTATCTTAGCACTTTTAGAGTTGTTTGCAACCTCCAAGCGTTCTTGGAAACACTAATTAATCCTCACGAGAGCCTGTAAATAAAACAGCACCGCTCCCATTTAAGGGGAGGGTAAATTCGGTGAAATGCAAAAGGCCATGCTGGACATTGGTGCCAGTGGAGGGGCTGGAAGGGCAGGACCTGCCTGTGCTCTGGCATGATGTTTAAAACACGATTTTGCTGCCCTGCCCTTTGGCTGCTTATCAAACACAGCTTTTGTGGGAGCCCTGGCAGGCAAGAGGAGAAGCCCCCTGAACCTTGTCTTGCAGCGGGTGGGTTGGGCAGGACTTTATGTCAAGGAAAGCTGAAAAGCTGGTTGGCCTCAGGTCTGGCAACACGCTCATCCTGCTTGAAAAAAAAAGGATGGAGCACCTCCAAACGCAGCGATGCTGTCACCTACCCCCTCGCTAGCACGCTGGGCTGGCTTCAGAGCTTGGTGAGGTCAGTGGAAAGGCTCCCAGTGACCTAAATGGCTGGGATTTTCAAAAAATACAAAGTCTAAATGCAACTGAGAGCTGAGCACCAGGTCACTAGGTTTGCTCAAAACCCCTAGTTTTGCAGCAGCAGCATCGCCCGTGACGTGAGTAACTACACAGACCAACCAACACCACAGCCCCTCTGCGATGGGTACCATAAAAATGGCTCATGGGGAAAGGTCTCTGCCCCACCGGGCTTACCCTCCTTCCCTCTCTGCAGGGAGAAGCTCATCCTTCCCCCCAAATCCTCACTTTCAGGCTGGGGCGCAGCAGGAGCTCAGCTCTCAAAGACTCCCACCACCTCGTAGCCCCAGCTCCTTGGGAGCAAACAGAGCATCCCTTGCAGCCACCAGTGCACCCTGAAAACACCACCTCCCAAAAGCCAGCCCGTGGAAGACCACAGCAATCGGGATTTGTTCAGTGGGGCATCCCACATTCGCTACCCGAAGGCAAGGAATAATACTGCCTCATTAAAAATGTGCTTCGAGTCTATTATAGTATCTAGGACAAAGTGTTCCCTATTTTGACACTCTAAGACGTATTTTATCAGAGCAAGCTCTTCAGAAACACTCACTCACAAAGACTTATCTGACTGTAACAGGTTCCTTGCTTCCCCCAGCATTTTAAAATTAATTCCTAGCTTTCTTTCCCCCCCTAGTCAGATGATGGGATGCCCCCAGGGTCAGATTTGTCATTAGGGCAGCCACTGGGACACATCCCAGCTCCCTCACGCTCTCCACAACCAACCCGTGGAGGACAGCCCAGAGCATCGCCGAGAAAAAACAGTATCAGAAGTCAGAGGGAACTTGGGAGGGACTCACAGCACTTCACAGGCACCAAGATTTATTTTTGGGGAGGGGGGTGGTGTGTGATATAAACACTTTCTAAAATTAGCACCTGCCTTTCTGCCAGCTCCAATGGGCTGCTGGCACAATGATAAAGCTTTGGCGTGGCTGAGAGGGTGCAACATTTGGGCACTGATCTGTTGTCCAACTCACGGCCACTTCTGCCCCACGGGGTTTTCCCGGCCGTGTGCTCAACCCGCGCGGTCACACAGATCCCGCACGGAGAGGTCGTTGTCCCAAAGAGTCGCACCCTCAGCTCCTCGGGAGGGGGCACGTTCATCTCAGAAAAAGCACCTCATCTCAAGGTTGAGAGTAAGTCGCGAGAGCTTTCTATAAAGGAATGCAAACGCATTTGAAACTGTTCAGATTTCTCAGCTGGACTGCTCCAAAGATAGTCCGAAATCACGTAAACCGGCTGGGCAGAGGGACCCTGGCAGGGTAAATGGCAGTGTGCCTCTGGCTGGGCTGAAGGGGTCAGGGACATGCCCCGAACAACACATCCACATGCTAAAAAGTTAACAGAAAAATTGGGGGGAAAAAATGCAAAACCCAAAACCTAAACACAAAAACCAAGAAGAAAACCATCAGACTCTAGATCAGCTGTGCTTTCACGTTAACAGACTGACACCGAGCAGATCTACGGGGCAAGAAAGCAGCTCCCGATGCCCAGCAAAGATCCGAGCAACTTTTCCCCAGGTGGTAGAACTGGTTACACCGAACAGCCGGGTGCTTTGCCGGTTCCTTAGGAGAAAAACCAAGCTTGAAGACCGGTCTGCTTTCTGTTTGCATGAAAAACTTGCTGGTTTTCAGAGCCCTGCGTACCCCAGAGCCTCGAAAACGCCCAGCACTTCAGTCTTTTCATGACCATCTATCAGTAGAAAAGGTTAAATGCTACTTTGCTGGATACGGAGCAGTGCTCCTCCGCTGCCTTTCTGTTTGCTCACCGCAACTTTCCATAGTGTTGCTTCTCAGCTAATGCCCAGCTCAAACAAACTTTCAAGGGGAAAGGTCTCAGGCTCCACACAATTAATTCCCCGCTCCCATACAGCATCTCACATGCTCATTTCCACCCCAGTCAACACCAGCAAAACTCCACCAAGTGACTGCACGTCAAAAAGAACAAGATAAAAAGCAAAGCTGCCAACTCCTGGTATTTCTGAGACAGGAAGAAAAGAGCTGATTCTCAAAAGCTGCCAGCTCGAATTGCCTCAGTGCTTTTACAGATCTGCTTTAAACACCAAACTTTTTGAAAGTTGAGTGGGAACCTCCTTGAGTGGGCTGTGCATACTGCAAACCCCAGAGCTATCAGCACAAGCAATGAAGGGAAGAAGAAAAAATGTACCCGGCAGGGTTCCTCGCTGCAGACAATGCAAAGCACCTCCCCGGGGTTATTTTCCCATCTGCCACACCACGACCACCCTTGCAGCTCCTCAGCCGCTTCCCCAAAATTACGCCACGCAAGTTAGACCCCCAAAAACCGAAGCGTGCCCCCTCTTTGCGAGCAGGCTTTCCAAACTGGGATGGTTTGCTCCTAGACTGCCTTTTCCCCACCGCAAGCGGGCAGACCTCCCCCCTCCCAGGAGAAAAACCTGCCCATCCTCACCTGCCGCAGGTGCCTCAGCAGCTCGGTGGCCTCCTCCTGCTTCCCCTGCTTCACCAGCACCAGCATGTCCTGGATCATGCAGATCCGCCGGTGGTAAGGGGGTAAGCTGCTGCCACCGCCCTTCCCAAACTTCTCGCCGGACTTCACCACGAGGGAAGTGAGGAAATCCCCCCTTTCCTTGGGGGGTACTTTCTTGCGGTGGTGGGCCGGGGGGCTTTCCCCAGCGCTGCCCGGCTGGCAGCCCTTGGTCTGCTTGGTGCCCATGGTGTGTGGCCCCGGCTCCTGCAGCCCTGGGGCTGCATGCAATGGGGGCGGGGGGGGATGCACAAGAGGATGGAGGGGATGCACAAGGGGTTTGGGAGTGCACAGGGGGATGCACAAAGGGGTGGAGGGGGTGCACGAGGGGTTTGGGGGTGCACAAGGGGGAT